ATTGTGTGTGGGCCCGAACAGACTTTCAGGAGCAATAGAAGGCTAAAAACAATTGAAAGGAGCATAAAGGTGCAAAGCGACACCTTCTTTTTAAAATCAGGAGTAGCAGCTGGATGTACCCCTCCCCCTAGGTATGAAAAGGAATACATTCTGGGCAGAGAATGGCTTTGGTGACCATATGTAAATAATCGTGTGAAACCTTAGGATGTTGTCTGGCAGAGAGGACAGTGTGGATGGTCGGATCTAGATAAATTTTCATAGTCTGTGTTCTTTCTTGCTTAGTACTTTCCCTAGAAGTATCAAATTAAATTAGAGTCTTACAGTGCATAATGAAAAATGTCTTGCTTTTTAAATTCACTTGATGACCTAAATTGCTTATTGTGCTGAAGCCATGTGACCAAAGAGAACACACAAATAAAGGCACATGACAAAGAAGAAAAATTACTCTTAGGACTTCTGTATTCTTACTAGCATTTTAAAAATAATAATATCATTTATCATTAAATTATTATCACCATTCAAAACATAAGGGAAACCAAAAGAAGCCCTCACATACAGAGAATGAAGGAAGTCTGCTCCAAGGCCTGCATCTACTTCTCGAGAATTCTGTGGCAGTCGGGACATGAACTGTCAGCTTCAGTATCCTGTGGGTGTTCTGGGAGCATGTAGTGCTCAGTCCCAGAATTAGTGTTACTGTAGCAAACCTAGGATTTCTCAGGACGGTGGTTACACTCCATGAGAGCACAAAAGCTGAGAAACCACGGGAAGAAAGTTAGCTAAGAAATCCTTGAATAACGCTGGACATTTCCTCAGAGTTACCAGTTAAACTGACTTTCTGAAGAGAAATAGTTCAGATGTTGGGGCAGAGCACTGGTTTAGGAACATTGAGGAGCTAATTTTTTAAAAAACAAATCAGTTTGGAAAGGATTGCTCTTCTGTCCCCAGATATTATGGCATGGATATACAACCTGCTGTGACACATACACAATTAAAACTAAGAATTCGTGTTTAAAACATAAGAAGAATAGCATCGAAAGTAATGCAATGGTCCTTTGATATCATTGGCCAGGATTTTTTATGACTAGTTCATTGGAAATCCCTCAGAACAAATTATTTCTTTTGATTGTGTAACAAAGAGTTGTAACACAGACCGGATGCATGGCATTCCAAATCTGTGCCAGTTCACCGACTCTTTGCACAAATTTTATCAGTTTCCTCTGGACCTCCACCTTCAGTTCGAAGGTTTGATATCCAAGCAGTGCCAACCGGCGACCCCCTTTTTATGTTGGTTATCAGGCAATTCTCTCAAAGCCCAAGGTTCTGTGTTCACACTCAGTTCTTGATTCTCACTTTACTTAATATGACCATAATTTTCACTTATAGACCAGTGGATATTGAATTAGAGATATATAGGATACTATATAATCATATATCTTTAATGACTGTAATAATTAGCATGCTTAAAAACTCAGAATTTGAAATACATATTTGATGGATAAAATGAATGCCTGAGGCAGAGAAAAGTTTGATTGTAACATAGAGATACAGGTGGGATGTTAAATGAGGAGTTTTCCTAGATGTGACTATTACTCAGAATTTTCTCCACACTAAGACTGGATGAGACAACATCAGTCCAGGATTCATGCTAACCACAGGTTAGCGGACAAGTAATAGCAACAGTAAGAGACATAGTATATAACAAGATGGTAAGCACAAACACAGTAGAAAGTAAGGATGCGGTGCCCAGAATTCAGGGGAAGTGGACCATCAACCCAGGGATAACTGGAATACAGCTATCACCATTTACAGAGTAAGTGAGTCTCCAGTGGCCCTTCTAGTCAACACACGAAGGTAGAAGCTGTGCTCTAAATGAAAGCTGAATATGTAGCGGAGTGAAGTCTGTGATCCGTGAAGTGAAAGGGAAATTCAGAGTAGAAGCATTTGAGAACCATAAGAGGGGACTTGGGAAATGAGAGAATTGAAAGTTGACAGATGGCAACTAGGCAATGGAAAAATCACTGTGGGAATTTTATTGTAGCAGAAAATAAATTGTAATTTAAGATATGGGAACCCAGATTCCTGATAATCCGAACTCAGGAAAAAGGGATGAGAAGATGGGATTGGGTTAGTGACTTACGGGACATGCAGCTCCTTTGTTTGAGGTTGGGGACTGGGGTCAGGACCTAGTTATGAGTAAAGAAAAGCCTTAGAAAACCCCACAGGGCTCTACTAGAGGAGGCTCTCCTTAGGAAGTTCTTTCAGTAGAAGGAAGTTATTAATTTATGAAATGCTGTTGTGTTTCTAAAATATCCACTTCTACAAATGTTTGTACCAAGAAGTGCAGGGTTTTTTTTTTTTTTTACATAAACACTAGAACATCATGATCAGTTGTTTTTTTTTTTCCCACTGTGACTTCATGACAAAGATCTCAAACTAAGAATGTCTAAAGTCTCTTCTTTAGAATTTGGAGTATAGTATAGTATTCATAATTTCCACAAACTGCCTGATTTTCACCATCATTTTATTTATTCATTTGCTTAAAGCATTGGAGATATGTTTTGTTTCATTTTGTATTGTATGGGTACCAGAGAAGGAGCGGGAATGGAGCATACACAGTGCAAACATGGAGGTCAGAGGAAAACTTACAGAGTTCAGTTTTCTTAGTTGTTTGTGGTTTGTGAATGAGTCAAATGTAAAGTCGTCAAATAAAAACTTGTGGATCCCAGGAACCAAACTCAGGTCATCATGCTTTGCAACAAGTGCCTTTATCCACTGTCATCCCAGGGGTCCCTCGATGTTTTCGTATTATCAGTTGAATTTGGTATAAAGAAAGTCATTAAACTATTTTTTCCATTAATCTAGTTTATTTTTCACTACTGAGAAACTATGATTTAACATATATCTTAGCATTAATATATTTTCCAAAAGCATGTAATTACAAATCAGGAGGCTATGCAGATATTGAATCTTCATCGTTTCAAAAACTGTGTGATGATACTGCCTTGACACAGATTTAAAATTTCATAATATGCCATGAGTGTATATTTTGTAGCTTGTGAGCAAATTAATTTAAGCCGTATGATGCTAAATAGTTGCATTTACTATCAGAACTCAAGTGGTCCTTTGAGAAGTCCCTGGCAGTATTACCAAGCTTCCATCCTTTGATTTTAGAAAGGGGACTTGAGAATTATCTATAAATGACTCACCGCATTATTTTAATCCTCTACATAAACATATTGAGACATTGTATTTGACACTCTGAGGCTTTTATATATTTGCATTGCCACACAACAGTGTCTGGGATAGATTTTTAGGATGAAACAGTCATCACCACACGATGTTGCTTGACTACCTGGAAAAAGCTCAGGGCATACAATTCAAATCACATTTAATTGATTCATGAAGCTGTGGGGTTGAGCCTGCTTGATCTGGTTTCTCTTGGTCTAAACTGGACTCCTATAGATGTGCTTCACCCCAGCTTACACAACTGGTACCCTAGGTAAACGGAAGCTCATGGTCAGCTTCCCTCATGCTATGCTACATATGTTCTCATCACTTCATGGGAATGCAGACCTGAGAAAATAAACAATAGTGTGGATTGTTCGCCCTCCAGATGTGTCAATATCCTGTTGATTCAAAAGGAAGCCGTGTGGGTACATGAAAAGTTAAAGCAATAGAGCCTGGTAAAATTGCATGCAATGGACATAGATAATAAGGACACAACTGATCTGTAACCTTCAGTGAGGTCACTATTCTGTGCAGACAGACAGGACAAATGAATTACAGAATGACATAAAGATTATGGTGGTGGTGACCAGGAGTTATAGCCACACCATTTTTTTCTTTGTTAGCTTGGGTAAATCAGGTCATCATACTGGTCTCTCGTTTCTTTATATGTACTTCCCAAGATTCATAAGGCTTTTGTTCTATAAAACAAAGATTTAATGTGTTAAATTCTATACATAATATGTATGAGGAACTTTAGAGACAAACTCAATGTGTTGACCCTGGCGCTAAATTTGCTAGTGTAAATGGCCAAATTTGGCTGGTTAATTTTAACTACAAATCTGCTAATATTTTATAACCACATTCAAACTCTTAAGTTTCTAGTCTGGATTTGATTATGAAGCTAAGGTCTAAAGTTTAATTTCCCCCTTAGTCTTTGAGTGTGGGATCATAACTGATGTATCTTTTGAAGTATGCAATGTGTCAGTATAATGTCATACATTATGATATATCCTATGTGAGTTACAGGAGACCATTGACGTGTGCCTTAATAATTAATCATTATGATGAGTCATTATCCTTAAATTGGACAAATGACTTTGTCAAAATTTCAAACTACTTACTAAAATGCATATAAATTTAGAGCAGATATTAAATTTTCTTCTAAATAAAGCATAGAGATAAATGGGGCTGGAGATATGGTTTAGTCATGAAAAGAACTTGTTGCTCTTGCAGAGAACCTGGGTTTGGTTCCTAGTACCTATGTAAACTCTCACAAGTGTCTGTAACTCTAGCTCTAGGGGATCCAATGCCATCTTCTGGTCTTCTTGGATACCAGGCATGCAGGTGATATACACACATACATATAGGCAAAGCACTTGTACATATAAAATTTTAACATAAAAATCAATTTTAAAGAAGAATAAAACTAATGCCGAATTGATTTTTAATTATGTAATAAATGACAGAGTACTGGCTTGCTTGACTTTCAAGATAACATCTGGGTAAGAGTGTTCCCACTCTCACTGTTAGAAGTCCCACAAAACCCCAAGCTAAACAATTTTTTTTATTTTAATCACTTAGCTACCTCAGAACTCCCACACCTAGATTCCTAAACTATATCAATAAACATGATTTATAGCTTAATTTGGCGTATAGAGCCTTCTCTTTCAGACACAGAGTAGTGACTTGCCATACCATAAATGTTTACCCCTGTCATTTCTCTAACTGGCATTTATTTGGGGCTGACAATTTACATGTGCTTGCCGTTTCAGAGTCACCATGCAGACAGAGTCAAGAAACTTCACCCAGCTCAAGGTGGCCTGGATTCAAGAATACCAATGGGTTTTCGAAATGATCTGGTTGATGTGGAGAAGCAGAAGAACAAGCAGCGGCCACTGGAGTAACAAGCAACAAGGTGATTGCAGGTTAGTTAAACCATCCACTATTGTTACCTACCTACCTGACAAGGGGACAATGCAAAAGTTATTGCTTCCATATTGTTTGGAATACACAGCATGTGTATAGAAATCAGAGGCCAATGTTGGGAATCTTTTGGGGAGCTCTTTACCTTTTCTTTATTTTGCTTTTTCAAGACATATCATTTTATTTTGTGTAAATGGGTTTTGCCTGCATGTTTATCTATGTATTGCATGCATTCAGAATCCTGGAAAGCTAGAAGTAAGAGTCAGATCTCCAGAGATTGGAAGTACAGAGAATTATATTCACCCTATAGGTACTGAAAGAACCTGAGTCTTCTATGAGAACAACACTCAAGTACTCAAGCACTAAAAAGTCCTTGGAGTTCTCCAACTTACTTTATGAGGCAGGGTCTCTCTCTGAACCTGGATCTCATATATTCATCCAGGGACCTTCCTGCCTCTGCCGCCTCCAACTCTGGAGTTACTCAAGCACATCAATGTTCCTGCCTTTCTATGTGGCTGCCTGGACTCTAAACTCAGGTCCTCATGCCTTGCAGAAGAAAATTTTCTGACAGCCATCTCCCTAGCCCCAATCACAATATTCTATATTTTCAGTAGATGAATAAGGAAGTTTTTATGGGTTGAAAGAGCTGATGGTAACTTAGTTTCAACCAATGCTCAGACCTTACCACAGAGAAGTTTCTTCATTCAGTGTATGATGGCTAAACACAGAAACTCATAGTCAACATGCAGAAAATAAGTGACTGGGGAGGACTCAGACACAAATGAGATATCCATGTCTTTTGTTAGGAAGCTCAGAGATCATCATGGAAATTAAGGATGGTGAGACCCAGAGGTTGGAGAGGATCAGAGCAGGTGTCTTCTGGACATGACAGTGTGACTGTGCTTGTAAACTTACAGTGGTGGTTGCTGTCTGTACAAGACCTGCACAAGGACCAAGCTCATCTTCAGTTTAGCATGCAGTGAAAGAGGTTCATCAAGCCTTGGACAGATGATAACTTCTGGAGGAGGAAGAATTAGTTTTCTTTAAGGGTATAGCTTCTGGTAGATCGACCACCCTACCCTCCACTGGACGGTTCCATCCCCAGGACTAAATGCACAGCACAAATTGGAGTCAATGGGTTACTCTGAAAATAAATTTAAAAATGGAAAAAAAGAAAAAGACATCAATTTGGAGTGAGTAGGGATGTAGAGATGGTCTGGAAAGAATTAAAGGAACAAATTGTGGGCGAATGTGGTAAAATACATACTATAAAGTCACAAAGAATTAGTAAAAATATTAAAAATTATATTACTAATCCAATGCAGTCTTGAATTATGGTGGTTTAGTTTGTAGGGAAGGTGATGTGGCATTTTCCATCTCCGCTGAAGGCAAAACAAGATCAAATGAAGTTGTGAGGGACTAATCACAATCAACTAAGTAACCAGACTCACTTCCATACGGTGGGACTCTGGCATGTCTTTGCAAGGGAAATGAGGATTTTCTCCTTTTTTGGCAATATTTTAGACACAGCAAATCAGCTCAGTTCCTATGACACTTATCTTCAAAACTTCACATTTAGTTCATAGGAAAATTGAAATTAATTATTCTTAAGCATATGGTTTGTTCCTCCCTCCCTTCCTTATTTGATATTGTAGTGCATATGATTTTTTTTTCTCCAAGGACATATAAAAGACAAAATACTGGATCTAAAGTCTCTGAAGTGTTTCTGCTCCCAACCCTGTCTGTACTATCTGAGTTCTTTCAAGTAGTTAGCTTACTGGCTTCTGACACTTCTATAAAAATATCCCATAGAGCTTTTCTTATTACGTTTTCATTGACTCTCTCCGAGTGATAAAATGAAATTCTGTAAAGGGCTTTGAAAGCCATGCATATTGCAATTCCTCCACATTTCAAACACTAATCAAGTGTGACTATAAAAGACACAACCGCTGCAGTGGAAATTGGTGTAGCGGGTTGGGACTCAAGCCATTATTAATTCATTGGAAACTATTTTTTTTTCTTTAAGATTATGGATCCTACAAAGTACCAGATAACACAATTCCTGAGATCAAAGTTTTTTGTTTCAATCACAGGGAACTTGGGTATCTAATCTTCCCAGCGTGTGCGTTTCTGGGACAGTACAGCGGTTGCCCCAGCTGTGCCCTGAGTGAATAATGCAGAGTATTTCATAAGCCAGAGAAGCAACTTACACTGTGCTCATAAATGATGGCTTTAAGAAGAAAAGGAGCCTCGGATTAAAATAATAGGTCTAGGCGAGTGAGACTTCCTAGCTTCCTACAACAGACTAAAGTGAAATTTCCTTTTAGGGGTCAATTTCAACATGCATTAGCTTGAAAATTACCCACTATAGTGTCCACAGAGTATTCTTATTTGCTTTTCCACCTTCAAAGACAACCAAGTTGGAATCTTCAGTATGTACTATTATGGTGTGACAGTTCTATACATAAAAATAAAAAGGGAAAGTAGACGACAAAGGAAACTTGGCCAATTTTGTTTTATTTCATATAGTATACATACCCTTATTTAAAAATAAACTGGCCAATTGGACTCACACTCACCCCGTGTAGATTGCTTTTCTCTGAATATACAGTAACCTCTTCTGAGTTCAGGAGGAGCAAATGAGGTCCCTTCTAAGTCACTTTCCAGACTCCTTTTTCTTCTTTCTTTGAGACAGGGAATTGCCACATAGCCTAGCTGACCTTTAACTTACGGTCCTTCTACCTCACCACTCAAGTCTTAGAACTATTCTCATTTTGTGTCTCCAGGATACCTAGCTTTGTTCATCAGATACAGGAAATTGAGCCTTTACTGATAAATATATATATATCTGATGATAAAGTATATTATCAAGTTAGATAGTCATTGTAAACAATTAGAAGGGTTTTTCCATGTAGCCAAACAGGAACTATGCAATAGCAATGGAATGCACTATAGTTAGACTCAGAGAAACTGACTCTGGACAGTATTGCCAGCTCTAGCTCTTTTTTCTAAGATGCTGCTGAGAGTGCTTTGTGGACCTCCTAAATGACCTTCTGTGGGCACTAAATTTACTCTAGTAGCTTGGTGATTCTCTCATCATCTTTCAGCAACATCATCGTTAACTCTGCATGTTTTGCCTATAAATAAGAGCACAGCTCTCTGAAAGTACCGTGTATGTATGGTGTGAGGGTAAAGTTCAGACCTCTGCAGTCTTAGTGCTGACTGCTGGATTTAAAAACTTGCTTCTCCACTTACTCGTAGTGTGCCATGAGCAATTTGCTAAATTCTCTATATTTGTCACGTTGGGTCCATATGTACTCTACCCCATAGGCAACGCTGAAGAGCTCATTAGATAAAGGAGGTCAAAGTTAATCTAACACATAGTAGACTCCAACTATGTCAGTGCTACAAGAAACTACTGACCCCATGAGTCGATTTCTAAGAAAACTTTATTTTCCAACAGGACCTCTGAGAAGTCCTGATGTTGTGGCTCCTGTGGGCATTGAGGCTTAGTTATTTTTCCTTTGAGAATTGGGCCGTCTTTGGATTTTTATAGCTACGGACAAGGGATGGGATGAGAAACCCTCCTTAGCTCCGTCACTAGTTCCTGAGTATAAGAAACATTGCTATGATGACGTTAACTGGATCCCTGATGTTGTCCTCTTCCTCCTTGGCAGTGGTGGCTAAACAAGAGCACAGTGCTCTGCTGTTTAATCAGCCTGAGAGCTATTTTAAGTAGCTGACAGGTGTTAAGTGGAAACGTTTGCATTAAACAGGTTTTTTTGCCCACCCAAATCCCTGAGCTGATTTGCACAATGCAAATTGATTGGGGAGTGTTCTCAGGAAAAACACTCAAGGCAGAGTGACAGACACAGGCTTGGGCAGAGGGAGAAGATGAATCCTGATATAATCACTACAAAGATGTCAGGGTATATCTCAGGGAGCTCTCGGATGGGCATGAGGTGCCCTGAGTTGGGGCAGTTTGCTGTACTCTCTGCATCTGTCAATCATTGCATGTAGCTGTGACTATGGAAAAGGAGGCCTCTTTGGACCCAGAGCAAAGACATTCAGGATAAGAAGATTAATATTTACTTGAGAGGAGGAACTTGTTATTATCTTCATTCCATATTAATTGCTATGATTGCTTCTGGTAAATTCCCTGGATGCACAGGGACCTATTTCTTCTTTCTTCCTTGTGTGTCCCCCTGGAAGCTGAAATCTTCGTGGAATGCATAGATGTTGCCGATTAAATAAAGGTTATGCTTTCTTGATTCATGATCTTTAATGTAATTTTTTCCTTTAGATTCCTCAGCTATGTTCCTTGAATTATACCAAATGGTTAGACAAAATCTGTCATTACTTGTCCTTTATAAATTAGACCACTAACCAAGGAGAGAAGTACAAAGCCAGAAAACAAAACACAAGTGCCTTGCTTTCTAGTCTAAGCCCTGCCCAAACCTAAATGAACAGCATGTGCATAAGTTATTTCCGGTCTCCAAGTTTCACTTTCTTCGCCAACCTCAAAGACAAGCTTCATGCCCATCAGTTTTGAGCGATTATGATGCAACACCCTCTATTGATAGAACATTGAGGTAGTAGGCCCCAAAGAGTCCCATATCAGAATAATGATGTGGGATTCTCCTCTGCATGCTATGAAAATGTTTTATTACTATTGTTTAATAAAGAAGCTATTTACTCTGCCAATGGCTTAGCAGAGTAAAGTCAGGCGGGCAATCCAAACAGATATATATATATATATATATATATATATATATATATATATATATATAGAGAGAGAGAGAGAGAGAGAGAGAGAGAGAGTAGGCAGAGTCAAAGAGATGCAGAAGGAGACAGACGCCAGATCCTTATCAGTAAGCCACAGCCTCATACCAATACATAGATTAATAGAAATGGGTTAAGTCAAGATGTAAGAGTTAATTAATAAAAATCCTGAGCTACTAGGCCAAGCAGTTTCATAATTAATACAGTTTCTGTG